CCAATGCTCGAGAAAATGAGCTTGTGCCCCTTCCAAAGGTGGATTCCGACCCACCTTCCACCATCACAGTCAGTTACAACTACACGGCAACCAACGCTTTCACTGATTCAGACTAGGCTGCTTCAACCTTGAAAGCAAGTCCTGCGACCGAGAACACACACACACACACACACACTTACCACTCGAGGGTGTGGTAAGCAGACGCGTGCGTCAATCCGGAATTGAGCACCAATATCCTACTTTGCGACCTATGGATGCGAGCCAGCATCAATGACATCCACCTTTTCCAAACTTCCGACTAAGCTAAAGGAGAGGCGATTTCGCCACTATCCCGCCGATGCCAAATACAGTTCTACAAGTCAACACCTGACGACTCATTTCAACAACCACCTCCCTACAAACAAACACCAATTTCGTAAACTCAACCACAACATTTATCACTAAATCACACCACCAAATGTTGCCTCCAGCATAAGAGACGAAGCTCCAACTGCAGCACGGCTCCAGCGCCACACATGAGCGTCCAAGTAGAAAATGCGCCTCACATCTATGCCCACCTTGCGAGATGGGAGAACGCTCACCAACCAACGTCGAGACCTAGAGGCGGTAGTTAGGCGCCCCCGAAACCTACAGTCTACGGGTCAGAGCACTCAGTGAATTCCCACATCAACCCTCGCCCTGACACAACGCACAACCAAACTCGGACACCGACAATTAACGCCTGCCTCTTTTAACACTAAGGTGCCACTTCTCCGCCCCCTGGCACATGCGTCCCACCACCTTCCATTTCAACACTTCACCTTACCACCCTATTTCTGACTCCGGTAGCCACGCGAAAGACTAGTCAATCAACAGATCAGTGAATTCGCTATCATTCACACACACACACACACACACACATGCAGCAACCTATTGTCAAACGAGATTAAGAGCAATATGAATGAGAAAAAGTGACGTGGCAAAAGGACACAGAACCAAACCCACCGCGTCAGTTTTTGACACCTTCCAAAGACGCCTTAGGTCGAGAACCTTCTTAAATGTACTGGTCAGAGCGACGCAGACAATGCATCCCAAAACCGCCTGAAATGGTTGAAAAATGAAGACACTTATTACCTCCAACACCCAGTGGCAAATACTGACACGCTCATTGCTGCACATCGGGCGTAGTACCAATCCAACTGAAGCTATTCTTGCTATAAGTAGGTCAGAGTAACTTCTGAGCTCAAGTTCAGTCGCACAACAC